TCTTTCCTCAAAATTGATACACTAGCTCCAGAATCTACGAGCAAAGGTACGGACAAAGAATTTATTTAACACAAAACAACCAATTTGTTGACCCCAAGTTATATTTGAAATTGCAATATCGGGCCTTTTTTCTGTTGTAGTGAGTTGACCCGCGCTCTCGACCCTTGCTGGTTTTTGATCTCTGGAAAAATATGCACTAACTAAGTTTTCTTCATGATGGGAAAGGCACAATTCGGCAAGAAGAGCACAATTGGTTTCAATAGGAATGTCGGTTGTCTGTAGCAAAACACGTCCTTCAAAGATACCAAATATGTTGTCAATAAATAAAAATTTGGCCTTTTGATGTCATTTGCAGTTGGTTTTTTTTTGGTTTTGTTTTTTTAGATTAGAGATATTTTTATCTGTTTTTTTTTTTTTGTCTTCCTCTTTTAAGAAAGAGTTATGCTATTTTCTTTTTTTAATTTAGAATGAGGCATACTTGGGTAAAGGGTAAAAACGATAAATGTGTTTTATATTATTTCATGAGGAGGGGGTCTGAGATTGTATGTACTCTAACAGATCTCTGGAGAGAAAAAAAGAAAGGCGGAAGATACCAAAGGGATATTCAAAACTCATAAGTCGAGGACAAGCTGACAAAGTATTGACAAAAAAGGAAAAACGACCAAAAGGCAAACAACAGTATACAACAAACAACATAGAAAACTAAAGACTGAGAAACTCAAACCCAAACAAAAACCGGATGTGATCTCAGGTGCTCCAGAGGGTTAGGCAGATCCTGCCCGTTGTATTACTCATGTAAGTACAAACTCGGTGATAAGTCTAATTCGAAGATGTCACATTCAAAGAAAAGAGGACGGGATTATGATTACAAACTTGTTACACTTGAAACATATCCATGGTCATCTGTGAAATAGATATTCCATAACAGTCAACAAATGTGTGATGGTGTCCATGAAATATTCAAAGGGATAACTTAGACTTCATCATTTGGGACTCCATGGTTTACTAGCTTTATTGTAAGCATGTAAGCAGGAGCACTCGATCAAGGAAATCATGATAGGACATGCAAGCTCTGTAATATCATTTCAGCTGGGAGATATATACTCTATAATGCAGGTGCTGCTGGAATGTTGCTACGTAGAACTGGAAAGTTCACAATTGGGAAGCTGAAATCATCTCTTTTGTCGAAAAGTTTTGTTCTCAACCGACCCGCTTGAATGTCTTAATTTAAGTCAAGAAATGAGGCAGACTAAACTGTATCGCTTGTTTCCTTTATGTCAAGTTCGATGGGATAGATGCGTTCAACATAGTCACCAAACTTTTAATTATTTAGTGAGGGGACATCATCTATTATAGCGGAACGTGAAGTTCAACGATATTTTAACTGTTTTTATCTTGTCTAAGAAGCACCTGAATTTGAAGTATACACATATCTTTCGCATTACCCTTAGAGAATGCAGTTTCAAAGGAACTCTGGAGCCAAGTTTTGATTACTGATAAAAGTAGATGGTTATAATTTGAAAAGAGGTTCGTGGAGCAATAGTAAGCACATAATAATTTTCCTGTTAAATGCATTAGCTCATCAATTTAAAATTTCAAAATCATTGTCAATTTTGCCTTTTTTTTTCTTTTTTTTTCTTTACTATATCTTACGGAAAACATACAATTAAATAAAATACTAGATGCTAATATTGATAAAATCAGTTTCTCCATCTTCATTTATCAATTGCTTAAACACATAAAAAAAAAATGGTTGAAATCAAACATTTGTTTTCAGTACCAAAACTTAATATCAAGGTACGCTGTCCGTGCTATGAAGTAAAAAATTCACTGCATCTATGCATCTATGAACGACGTACACTAACAAATTATGCTTATGTGTTGCGGCTGATGTATGAATACATTTTTTCTCGTTTTTATCATTGGCACATTCATTTTCTGTAAATTTACAGTTTATAAAATGTTGAGTTATTCAAACTACTTAAGTTTTTTTTCACTCCCAGGATTATAAGGCCTTGATCCTATTTGGCACAACTTTTTGCAATGTTTTGTTGTGCTTTTCAACTTTGTAATTGATTTGGCCTTCCAACTGTTTTGATTCGAGCGCCACTGATGAGTTTTATGAAGACGAAACGTGCGCCTGTCGTATCAAATTATTAGCTTTATCTTTGATGGGTTTTACTTGCTCCAGACTGTTATGTATAAATACTATGTGTTCCACAGTGAGGTTTTCAAAGCATCTGTTTCGTTTTCCTTGGTAGACAGTACACTTTATTTTAACTACTACAGGGAGAAGGGGGATATTGGTTGTCGAATAAAAGGAAACTAAATCAAATCAAATAAATCAGTAAAAAAGTATGATTCGTTTATTTCGGGACTAGGTTGTTGGTTAATGACTAGTGTAAAAATAGGGAATAACAATAATTAAAAGAAGATGTCGGGTGTACTTCATTGTGACAGTACACATTTCACACGAAAAACCAAGACATCTAGCATAGCATATCTAACAATATGATAAATAATAAATATCATTATAATTGATTATATTTAACAGATTTACCATATGGTTTACACTTCTTTGGTGACATCATTGCTTCAAAATTATTTAAATTAGTTTTCAAAGTTGGTGAAAACATTGCGTGTAAATTTTTGAAGTCGATTGAAAACAGATAATTAAAATGCCGATCTCTATAAATTAATATTTGTTGATTTTATGTTCATCTTGTTGCTTTACCTTTAAACTTCAGAGGTTAAGCCATAAACTCAATAGTTTATTTTTTGAATAACAAAAGCTTTGGTGGATGTTACCTACTTGAATGCATTACCTAAATCTCATTTGCAGACCAAATAAAACATTTTTTTAACTAGCCGTTTCCATGACTGCAGTTTAAACATAACTTGTCCTATTCTTTCAAATCTTCTGCATCTGAGTTCTTCTTTTGTCAACTTCTTTTTTGCATTGCAGTAGCGCTTAAGTTATCAAGAAATGATAAAATTACTCAACCATTGACAACAATACAAGAACTGGACCCCTTTTTCAAAACTGTGATGATAGATGAATTCCGTAGCAAATTATCTAGGTCTCAAACACAAATGTTTGGCTTTCTGTTGAATTACGAGTTACACTCGTGTGTATGACTTTTAATTTTTGTAAATGCTCTATTACTTAACGACACTACTCTGGAGAAACTTGTAAGAATTGTCTCATTCATTTTTTTTCCCAATAATTTCAAACCAAATTGGATTCTTGTCGAATCCAATTTTAAGTTTCCAAACATGAATAACAAAGAAAACAAGAGAGTTTTGTCCCTCTCTCACATCCCACGCTTATTTTTCTCTCAAATTTAGCAATTTTTGGATAAAAGTGCAAAAAGATAATTGAATCAAAATTCAAAACAAAGAAGATATTTTGTGGGATTGTGTATTTTTATAAACTAACAGCAACCCATCATGTTTATTTCTCCTAAAAAACAGAAAAAGAGAGGCGAAACATACCAAAGGGACATTCAAACTGATAAGTAGAAAACAAACTGACATTGCCATGGCAAAAAAAAAGAAAGACCTCATTATTATTAATAAAAGAAGATATCGGGTATCCGTCTACGATGTAAATAAAAGGTGTCGAAGAACTGATTTCATTCATAAAACGATTGATTTTCATATTGACAAATTATTCAGTGGCGGATCCAGAACTTTTCATAAGGGGGGAGGGGGCGCCCGCTCCAGTCATGCTTCAGTGATTCCCTATATAATCAACCAAATTTTTCCCACAAAAGGGGGGGGGGCGGCCCCCAGGGCCCCCTGGATCCGCCTATGTTATTTAAAACTAATTGATTGAATTTGAATCAAAAATTATATCTGAAAAAAACCGTCATTTGATGCCAAGTTGCAGTGCCACTTTTCATTGCTAAAAAAACGAATGTGAAGTTTTAAAAAACTTGAATTATATTTCAACCTTTGATTTCGGAAAATTATACCTTCTGAAAAAAACAAGTTCGTTTTCTTGTTTTTATACTTTAAGCCTACAAATGTATATATGTAAAAAAAAATTATGATTATTGCTTTTTGATAATAAATAGACATTTATTTAAAATGCCAATTCATATCGACAGACACGCCTTACGTCATTTAACTTTAACCAATTGAATCTCTTTACACCCACTATTGTTTTAAACTTTCCGATAATTACATATATATGTATCATAGGTGATAAATTTGTATGTAAAACTTCGAAAGAAATCATTAAAACATAGAATGTTTAAAAGAAAGGTGCCACTAACGACATTTGAAAGCAACAATGAAAATATCAGGTATGTTGGTAAAAGAATCATAGAATGAAGTAATAACATACTAGATTTTGAGTGAAAGTAAAAATCCACATTAATGTTATTTTAAGTAGGGGAATTAATAAAACGAAACTGTTATCTTACGATAACCACCGTGACATTTTTTGCTCGGTATATATCATATTTGTTTTTCGTTTATTGTTTTATACATAAAGCAGGCTGTTTTTTCGAATGAATCGTTTTGCATTTGTCGTTTCGGGACCTTTAATAGCTTGATGTGGGATATGGGTTTTGCTCATTGTTGAAGGCCGTACAGTGACCGATAGTTGCTAACCTTCTAAGTCATTTGGTCTCTGGTGAAGAGTTGTCTCATTTGCAATTTTATCACATCTTTTTAATTTTATATAGTATGATTTAAGGTTCAATAAAGTATAACCTTTCAAAACAAATAAAACCTCTGAAAATTGTATCTTCATATACTTAAAATACTCAATTTTACTTTTGAAATTATTATATTATATTATACTATAGTGCTGCTTTTTCTCATTTGTAGTTTGCATACTAGCAAGTGGCATTCTGTAGTCGAAAAACATTTTTTTTATAACATTTGTCTTTTCATCTTATCCTAACAATTGTTTGGATAACCATTAATTTGTAAAATTTATATTTACATCTTCACAAAATTAACTGCTACTTTTTTTCTTGCAGAAAAATGCCATTATCAAATATCTTCGCAGCAAATGAAACTTTGAATGGTGAGAACATTATGTTCATTATGTTTCTAAATTAATTATTATTTCCGCGGATTGCATGCATTTTTGTCTCATGTACATTCACGTTAACCCCTATTTAAGATTCATTATAGAGTCTGTTTAGCTATTGTTATCACTTTAGTCTCGTTTTCTGTCGTTTGTCCTTCGGTAAATTTGAACCACAGTTAGAAGTGGTAATATATGTAAGGTCATTTATTAACAAAAAATTCTAATTAGTAGTAGTTATATATGTAAGGTCTTTTAGAAACAAAAATTCTCATTTTCTTACGATTGTATGAAAAACATGGATTCGAGGCAATCTTTGATTCTGAGTGGCCAGTTTACAAAAACATTCGTCTGTGAAACTACAGAGCAAAATGTTTGAAAACTTTAGGTGACAGATGATTGGATGGTCGTCTACAAAAGATTCTCATTAATTGTTGATCGGATGACAAACCTGATACTTCATAGTTATCTTTAAACCCTATTCAATTCATGTTCATCTTCTAGGCGATCTTTGTGATTGGCATTTTTTTACAAATCTTGGCGAAATGTTTTGAAACTTATGAAGATTGCTTTTTGGAAGACAATTTGTATTTAATGTTGATTGAATGGCAAACATGGCGGCATTAGTTGTAAATAGTTCCAATAGAAACCCTATGGAAAAGAATATTTTCGTTTTCTGTCTCTTTATCTGTATCTATTTGGCGAATTCAAATCATAGTAGACAGGAATGAAGTATTGAAGGTCAAAATTTTGTTTTGGCCTAGTTCTGTATGAATGTTCTTCAAATGGTTCTGATTGGATGAAAACATGAGCGACAGAAGCGATGACAATTAGTTTACACTTGTAGCAATTTCGATTATATTCTGACGATGTATATAGATGAACGATATTTGAAATGATATGCCATTTACTTTGTTCCTTTCAAACTTCTTTGTTTAAAAGAGATGTCACAGTATATCGTGTCGAATTTCGCGGTAGACTGGATATACTTTTTGTGTTCTAATGTTGTTCTTATGTTGTTGTTAATTGACTCCTTTCATTCGTTTAAAATTATCATTTATAAGGTATTGGAAATTTTAGACAGAAGGTGATATGCTGGTTACTTTTAGATATGGTTAGTAAATTGTTAATATTCTCTAATATTTTTATTTCATTTCAGTAACACTTGACTCAGACATCAGAAACTTCGATGTGACAAAGGCTATAGAGCTCTCAGATACAATAAAATTTTCCGAATACAACCCCGTAGCTGTTGGTATGATTTGCATGAGTATAATCCTGGTAGTTGTCCTTGTATTTGCTTGTTGGTTTCTAAGAACGAATCCCTCAGAAGCCTTTGATACTAGTTATACAATTTCTGTAAGTATAAGTGACACGCACAGATGCGGATATTTTTAAAGATATTTATGAACGCAAAATACTATGACATCGTCTATTATAATTTGGGGAGTGTGGCAGATAATTCAAGCAATGGCATCACATTGTTGTTTACAAGGATGCAACTAATAAGTCTTATATAATGTAAAGAAACTATATACTGTAATCAGTCTTTCATGTTTTGGTCAATTCTGTTTGTGAAAGAATGTCACAACACACAGGAGTAAACATATTGACAACACACATATTTCCAAATTTGTATTGTCTTGCAAAAATGAGTTTGGGTCATCGGATCCAACAGTTAGTGTCAAACAAAATGTTTGATAATCACACTTTTTCGGCTTTAAGACCATCAATTCGCTTTCGGAATTGCGTAAAACCAACTTTGTTGAGGACTGATCTTATTTGAAATAGATATTCTTACTATTACGTTAAGAAAAAATACATAGATCATTGTTCTAGCAGTAGACCCAAATTGAAGGTTCTAAAAGAACCTGACCTTTAAAATCAAAATAGTCTGTAAACATTTACATATAAAAAAAGGTTAATTGTCGAGCCTGCGACTTTTGTCGCAGAAAGCTCGACATAGGGATAGTGATCCGGCGGCGGCGGCGGCGGCGTTAGCTAACTTCTTAAAAGCTTTATATTTTAGAAGGTGGAAGACCTGGATGCTTCATACTTTGTATATGGATGCCTCATGTTACGAAGTTTCCGTCAGTCACATGTCCAATGTCCTTGACCTCATTTTCATGGTTCAGTGACTACTTGAAAAAAAAGTTCAGATTTTTTGTAATGTTAAATTCTCTCTTATTATAAGTAATAGGATAACTATATTTGGTATGTGCGTACCTTGCAAGGTCCTCATGCCTGTCAGACAGTTTTCACTTGACCTCGACCTCATTTCATGGATCAGTGAACAAGGTTAAGTTTTGGTGGTCAAGTCCATATCTCAGATACTTTATGCAATAGGTCTAGTATATTCGGTGTATGGAAGGACTGTAAGGTGTACATGTCCAACTGGCAGGTGTCATCTGACCTTGACCTCATTTTCATGGTTCGGTGGTTATAGTTAAGTTTTTGTGTTTTGGTCCGTTTTTCTTATACTGTATGCAATAGGTCTACTATATTTGGTGTATGGAATGATTGTAAGGTGTACATGTCTAGCTGGCAGGTGTCATCTGACCTTGACCTCATTTTCATGGTTCAGTGGTTATAGTTAAGTTTTTGTGTTTTGGTCCGTTTTTCTTATACTTTATGCAATAGGACTACTATATTTGGTGTATGGAATGATTGTAAGGTGTACATGTCTAGCTGGCAGGTGTCATCTGACCTTGACCTCATTTTCATGGTTCAGTGGTTATAGTTAAGTTTTTGAGTTTTGGTCTTTTTTCTTATACTATATGCAATAAGTCAACTATATTTGGTGTATGGAAATATTCTATGATGTACATGTCAGTCTCGCAGGTTTTATTTGACCTTGACCTCATTTTCACGGTTCCTTGCTCAGTGTTAAGTTTATGTGTTTCAGTCTGTTTTTCTTAAACTATAAGCATTTGGTCAGCTATATTTGTTGTATGGAAGGATTGTAAGCTGTTCATGTCTGCCTGGCATGGTTCATCTGACCTTGACCTAATTTTCACGATTCATTGGTCAATGTTTAGTTTTCTTGGTTAAGTCTGTTTCTTAGAAACTATAAGCAATAGGTCAACTATATTTAGTGTATTGAATGATTGTAAGGTGTACATGTATTTCTCGTTTGATTTATATGACCTTGACTTCATTTTCTTGGATCATGTTAAGTTTATGTAATAGTTGTAGTAAAGCTTTCATTTAGGACTATCAACATAATATCAATGGTTAGTAAAGAAGGCGAGACATTTCAGCGTGTGCACTCTTGTTAAAATTTCTTAACAGTCCGTTTAAAGCAATCACTTTGTATATGATAAAAGGAAATGAAGAAGCTTTCTTCCCCGATAATGATAATGGTAAATAAGCATACAAATGTTCAGTTCTAGTATTTTATGATCAGATCACAAACACATAAAGGATTGATAATGTTATTAGGATGTAAAAGCGTTGACCAAAGAACATTGTGCGTGAAGCACGGACTTCTTTGTTGTAACGTTGACACGAAAATCACATGCAATCATAGATTTTGCGTTTTATTGGGAGATATTAGTTCAACATATGTTTTTTTACAATGCTTCGTTATTGTTGTCTGACAATCAAAATAACGGAATCTAATATAATTATTAGATATTGGTACTTGAAATTCGTCCTATTATAATATGAGTAAAAGGAGATGGACTGTTTACGCCAATGAGATAGGAGCATAACAACACAAAATATTGTTATGTACACAATAATTTATTTTTGATATATTTTATTCTGCAGGAGTTTCCCAAAAATAACTTACAGCGAAGCAGTCATGTCCGGAGACAACATGAAAGTGAGAGTTCTTTTTGCTTTCTAAATGAAACAAAATATGCAAATGTCTGAAAAGGAATGACAAACTGAACATTTGATATTATTTCATTGATGTTATGTGACTTTTTGTGCTGCAGTTCATAAAGATGTAATTTATTTACTTTTTTCCATCCATATGTATAATAAAAATAATAGAAATATGCATACCTATAAAATTTTATACAATACTATATATCATAAATAAAGGTTTCTGATAAGTTCGCGGTCAGTATTCAGACTGTGCATTCGAGACATCAATACACTTACGATACTTGTAGTTGTCATTGGCAATCATACCACATCTCCTTATTTTTATATTGTTTGCAGGGTTTGTTACTCGTATTGTGTGGATTCAGTAGAATGCATCCCCTGTGCTTGTGGTTGGTTGTTTGCTTGTGAAAGAGATGTCTTCCTTTATTTTCATAATGACATTGTTCTATTTCTTAATATGTATTACCGTGCATTACCTTTGCTCATTACTTTACGAATTCTGTATTTATCCTATATAAAGATAAGGAGATGTGGTATGATTGCCAATGAAACAACTATCCACCAGAGTTCAAATGAAGTGGATATATTTTTTATATGTTTGCTATGTTTTTACTCAGTCTTAACATCGGGCAGTGTATTACAGTTTTTATTAGAGTTTTTCGACTGCACATGGTATATATTTTCTACTTATTCCGTTCTTATGATCCCAATTCAATACTATGAATTTCTGCTTCTTTTAGTTATCATTATTTTTATTTTTATAATTAGATAATAATGATATTAAGAAACAGAAAAACAACTGAAAACGTCTTAACTTTACCAGTATAATTGTACTTTAAAAACCACATTCAAAACATAAATTCAACTTCAGTAAATGGAAATTCAACATTTAAGTATCCATAAATGTTCCGTGACAAATCTGCTCCAAATGATCTTCCAGTAGTATTGGTTGGTCATCACTGAATTGCCATATTTTTAGCTGGTTGCAGTCGATGTGGTGTTTTTAACAATCAGAGGTAGAGCGATTAGAGATCTATACAAAGTATAACGGACTTCTTTGTTTCTCGGTTGTAGTTCCTTCCAGAGGTTGACCAAGCCTGTAGCATCTGTATAAACATCAGACTAATACATATACGAGAAAAATAAACATAGTTGTGCGTGTATTTGTGAAAATTACAATCAACCTAACAAACAAAAATTATCAAAACACTCTAATTATCAGAAATGAAAAAAAAAAATTCTTATGCTACCAATAACTAAAATGAAAAAAATAATATTTCTTATTCTACCAATAACTAAAAGGGAACACAGGTCTCCATTCATAAACAACCCATAATCATGTATATATACTTTCTTCTTTTTTCTATTTTCTTTTGTTATTACAAAAGAGAGTACAGATCTCTCTTCCTATATTTCAAAATGATGTCAGTGGTTAGCACAAATACTTAACACTAAGACGCTCCTCTGAAAAATTTAATTAGCAGACATACCAGATCTATCTGAACCGGCTGTAAAAAATGTAAGTGTGATATTTGTATTACTTCAATAATGTAGACTTGAAAATATCTGAAAATACGATGATTTATATCCTAGTCGTCAAAGTCTAAGATCTTACTAATGAAATAAGCTGTTGAACTTTGAGTCTAGGCACTCAAGCAACTGATAATTTAATATTAACGAAGACGACAAGTGTGACATAAAGAAAATGTCAAGGACTGAAGGGATGACTTCATACTGCCAACTTGAACAGTTTTTATGACATTCTGATTATCTGAATAAAGTTTAACATTTTTATTAGTTTTGAGCTCATAATCAGGCTTCAGTAACAACTTACAGCTTTTATCTTTCAAAAGGTTGAGCTTTGAGTTTTATCAAAATCGTCCTACATACAGTGGAATGTTTTGTTAGCTTCGTCTAGTAAAATACTAGCTCCAGTGAGATCTTTTGTATCCATGTACATAATTTGCTCTGGAAGTCTGAACCATGGGGAAATGATTCTAGTTGATAGACTATCAATGTGAGAAGAGCGAAATTTCCTCGTCCCTACAAACATTCCCAGCGATAAGCAAAGACAATTGTCTAGTAAAAATCTGACCAATAGGACCATACGCAATTCTCATAGAAATGAAAGATTCGAAAACGGATGGAAACTCCCTAGCCGTACCAAAAGACTTGCACCTATGGTTTTCAAGCTTATGGACATATATATAAAAGCCCCCTCCAAAAGGTTCCAGGTAATACCCAACCAATGTAAAACTTGAACCAGGTGTCATGGACTTTTTCTTCATTCGGCATGTCTAATATCATAATGTAAATGTACTTACTTAGAACACCTAAAATCATCACGAAATCCACCCGTCATCGAGTTTATTAATACCCTGAACCTGCAAAAGAAGTCTTGAATATTTTCATATATAAGGCAGAGCTGCAAAGACCAAAACGCAAATTAAACTGAAAATACGAAAAATCGTATGTTATTACCAAATTTCCAAGAAAAACCTAAATACGTATGAAAATTGAGGTGAATACTTAAAAGATGATATACGCTGCTGAGATAAAATTTCTGCATAAAATTGCCCTTATCTGTAGCTTTGAAAAGTCGCTCTTGGAAAAACGTTTTGGTGCTGTCCGCAGTTTTGAAAGCCAAGAAAAAGCTTGTTGTTTGGCGTACCTTTTTTTATCTAGTACGTTGAAACGTATGTGCGGGTGAAATTTTGCATAGGGCGTCGGACTCTTCTTTGAAGCTCTACAATTGGTTGCATGTAGTTTAGAGGCGTCTTTACTGTTGTCAGCAATATCAGAATCATCAGAATCTTATTTAACCGTCCCCCAATCATATCGGTTGCTATTCTGAAAATTGTATATCGATTCATAAGGGCTTTCTAAGAATCAATCAAGTCGAAAACTTCTTCTACATTCACGCCGATTTAAAAGTTCTTCATACAGTCCAGGTTTATTTACTTATTACTGGATTGAATTCCCTTCTCTTTTAAAGTCCATATTGTCAGCAATTTATCTTGAAACTCGATGACAATTTGGTAATAAACAGACTTACTGCAACTTCTGCACTGAATTCGTTAGCTTCTTTGTGATTCTGTATATTCGAATACCTTTGAACAGTAATTTCTTCTATTAAGTTTAGGACATATCACGAAAAGGTGTAACAATACTAATTGCATTTTAACTAATGCAAAAAAGACTACAATAATGATACACGTCCTTCTCAACTTTGTATATAACGTCGCATTAATCGAATGGACATATACAAATTACTTTGTATAGACATAACCAAATCTGACAGTGAATAACATAACCGCGAAAATACTATGGAGGGAAAACATCTGAATGCAATAACGGAATGTAAAGAAATCAATAGATTGTGATATAATATAAACATGAAGATCGTAAAAGGGATTTTCTTAAAATAAAATACATTAACAGAAGTATTGATCTTATTAACTTATCAATTTTAGTTAATGACTGCATGGTTCAAAAACTTGATATCTTCCTATTTTAATAACATAACCTTTTATTTTGTATCCCTATAAAAAAAACAGTAACATTTAAACTTTTAATTAAACGTCATTTACATCAGACGTCAGTATAGAAAATAATTCTCCCTTCAACCTAAGACTAAAACGTTGATGTTTAGATATGATCCCTACGGTAATGTTATTACAGGGGACATAAAGATCGTCCAAGACCGAGAAGTAATAAACTTTGTGAAAAGGGACCAAAAGATGGTCTTCCATCGAAACTAAATTAAATTGGAAAGAGTGTTGTCAGGTCATCAAAGATACTCATTCATCCTATATGCAACCTCCAAAACCGATAAACTGGCTTACGAAAGCACAAATAGAAGGTTCATGAATTTATTGTACATTCATATATATATATATTAGGCATTGATATAATTTAATTTAGTAACTGCATTAGACTATTTTAAAACTGATTCACGCCTAGATAGATTGAATATTGGTTGTTGCTTTTTTTTAGAAACTATACATATATATATATATATATATATAAGTCTAGAGATTAGCACAACGATACTTATATAAGATGGTATTATACGAAGATGTTGTTATTAAATCGTGTTGACAAATATTTCGGCTTAACAAATAGCCTTCTTCAGTGTCAATTACTTTAACAATACTGATTATATGTATAAAAATAGCTCAATAATGTAAGTTTTGGTCTATTGATTTAATCCAAAATCCTGAACATCATAATATAAAACAAAACTCAATACTCAAATATACGTGACTGTGTATATTTACATCCCAAAATGAGTGAAAAATAAAACTTAGTATTTTTCATTGATGCCGTTTGGATGATGTACATTTAGTTCCTTTATCCAAAAGCTTTCCCGAACCTGTCGCTGGGCATCACTCCAGTGAATGTTCTGTTCAATCACTAGGATCTTCATGCGGTTAAAGTCATCAAGTTTGTGACCAGACTGTCTGAAATGCTGAGAAACTGGGAGAAGTGGCTTCTTAGAGATATCACTCCTATGGCCATTGAGGCGTTTGTGGAAAGGCTGATTTGACTCACCAACATATTGGAGGCCACAAACCGAACATTCTAGAATGCAAATAACATTCATACTTTTGCAGTTAACATTGCAAAATATCCTATAGTTATTTTCGGTTGCCTTACTGTGAAAAGTTGATGAGTGATGCATCTGTAGGCAGCATTTGCAGCGTTTTTCATCACACGAACGACATTCTCCAGAAGTACTTCTATTATCAGACACTTCAGCCCGCACCAGCAGGTTCTGCAGACTATTGGGTTGCCTAAAAGCTATCATGGGAGGCTCGGGGAAAATCTTGGATAGTTTGGAATTCTTTTCAACTGTTTTCCAATGCTCACGAATGACACCGAAACTGTTTTTGAGAGATGGGTGGTAAGTAAGAACACATGGAGTCCTTTTATTTTTCTTTTTATATTTGTATTCTAACAGTTTACTCCTTGGAATAGTTTCCGCTTTCTGAAAGCCTTTTTGGATAGTTCTGTGTTTGTAGCCCCTTCTCTTCAAGCGGGTTTCGAGTTGACGTAGTTGTTTTTTAGTTGTTTCTGTGTTGGAACATATTCGCTTGACTCTGAGTGCCTGACTGTACGGGATGCTTTTAGTA